TGATCTTTGCAATCCAAGCTTTCCGATACGAGATTCTATAACCGTATTTTTCAGCAATGTGGGCTTGTATAACTTTGACTTTCAGTGAAGCGTCGCTGTTAACAAGTTCTCTGATGCTGTGGCTAATAATTTCAGAATCTAATTTTCTATGATCCTGTGACATTGAGGTTGTAGTGCACGTGTGTGAACCCTTTATAGTAGCGATCTCCCATAATGTACTTTTTTTACGCACAGCAGCTCTACATTTGAAGACGCATTGTGGGTTTGTACATTTTATTATATACCTTACTGAATCAGATTTATATACTGCATAGTCAAGGTTGTTACTAATATGCCAATGTTGTAAAAAAAGAACACATTCTTCCTTATTTTCAAACACCAAGCCTACTTCTAATTTTTCACCATTATGGTTTGGTTTTTCATTTTCAAAAATATAGATGGGTTGAGATGACTCCATACATATGTTTGACATATGCACTGGTGGATTGTACAGATTTATGGGTTGAGCATATATTACCTCTGACTGCATGAGTTCATCGTGACCGTCGTCATCGTCATCACCGAATAGGTCTTCAAAGCGAACATCATCGAGCTCATCGTCACTGTATTCACCAACCTCCTCGTTCCGGATGAAAGGTTCATTATTTTGCGTTATTTCATCATCAGTTGTTTGGCTCACCCCGTATTGATGCGAATATGATGATTGCGTTGGATATGCCTCGTCTTCTAGGCGAACATATAATTCAATTGTCTTCAACTGGGGCATTGTGTAATGACATTGAAACATTGATTTGACTGCGCTGTCTGTATCTATCTGCATCATTACGTAGAACACATCATCGTCTACCCCATTACGTATTGGTTGACGGTAAGTAATATCCTGGACAGAACGATTCACTTTTTTTTCAATTCTATCTTTTAGATGACGGATATCAGAACTTCGGTGAAGTTTGAACATCACCGTATCTGTTCCGTTGAATGAAAAACCGATATTTTCATCAGTAAACACGGAACCGTTATAGTGCATAGTGACCAATGTGTTTCTATCTGCCATGACCAAGGTTTTTGAAAATTAACAGTATGAGTGTATGAGTGGGAGGTAGATGTGCAGTCTACAACAATTGCATGTAAAATATATAGGAGAAGCGTGCATGCTGTACAAGTTAAGGGACGTCCATTCAAAGGACGAACCCACACATGCATAGTAAAGGGTCGTCCAACCCAAGGACGTACCAATTCATTTCTAGTATAGGGTAGTCCAACAAAAGGACGAACCAATGGGAACCGTGTAGGGGTTCGGCCAACGAAAGGGCGAACCATTGAAGAGGTAAATTTGCATGCAAGCCACTTGTCGTTGCATGCTTCTAGGGTTTGAACAATATTAGGGTGCAGAAGAATCCCTTAAGGCTGATGAAAATTAATAGGGTGCAGTATAGGGTGCATGCATGTGAGTTTCCAAAGGCTATTAGTGTGTATCACTACTTCACCACTTCAAAATTTTTCTTATAAATACAATGCACATTCACATTTTAAAAATCATCACTTCAATATATATCACTCCTTACTTCTAAATCAACAATTCAATATTTTTAAATGGCAATGTTGTGGTTGGGAGAAAATCATCGGGGAACACCGGCCAATATTGCCGCATTTGTATGTTATTTTTATTCACATTTCTGTTATTTATCTATTTGAATTTATTGATTTGTATTTATTTTCAATCATTCAACAAGTTTGTATTTATTTGTTTTTATATTTGTAACAGTCCGATAGCGAGAGATTCAGACTACATTCTCATGCTATCGATGCACCAACCAAAGAAATTAAACCGTTTTTGGAACGAGCTGGTTTCGCAAAAGTTGCAGAAATCTCCTCGATCAAAGTTGATTCAAAGCTTGTAATCGCTATGTTGGAGAGGTGGAGACCAGAAACACATACTCTAAATATGTGTCACCCATTGTATTAAAACTCTAACACTTATATTTTATGTAACAGTTTATTTGGAGGCCATACCCAAGCTACCCCGAATGCGTCCTTCAAGATAGCCAGATTTGGAGCGCTACAACATCAATTATCAGTTTCCATATCGTTGAAATGCATCAGGCTGATAGGGTAAAATTGCAGTTTGGATTTCAACAAGATATCCCTCCTCAGCCTAGATGTCTACGTCAACAACATGAGACTGATATGCCTAATACATGGGGAGATCATTGGCGCAATATAAATAAAGAAGAAAATAACGAGTGGAGAAACAGAACAAATTTGACCCTACGAGGTAACATGGTTAACGGTAACTGTGTTCATAGTGCTGAATATATGCAATGGTTTTTATCCATTCCATTTATGCACGCTTCTCAAGGTCAGTTCCTAGAGGACCCCCGTCAGTATGCAACGTCTTCATCACAACAAAGATCCTCTTCGCCCATGCCTCAAGAAATGCCTCAGGTGAACCCTTCACAATTTGAAACACAGACATCTTCATTCAACCAGCCAACATTCTTTGCCGCCTCCTCTCAACAACCAACACAACCACAACCCCAACCAACATATCAACGCACTCATACTACATTCTTTGCCACCTCCTCTCAACAACCAACACCGTACACCCCAACCCCACAACCAAACTACTACTATCGACAACAATATCAGGAACAAGCCACATTTCAACCTTCTTTTCATTTCACTCCGATCCCTCAGCCTAATTTTGATTTCTCTTACCCCCAACCACAACACCAAACATTTAACCCTTCAATGTCTCATCCAAGTTCATCCGGTCGCACCGACAATGTTTATTACCCTCCCATCCAACAAAACCCTCCAACCACTTTCACCCAACCATTCCAGTCAGCCCCTAACTTTACCCTAACGGATGATCAACTCATGGAATGGCCAGGTTTTTCGGTTACTGATGTGGACATGCTTGATACATCACGTCAACCTGAAAATGAAGAGTTGACTTCCGACTCTACCCCATCACCTCCAACATCACCTCCAATACGGCAAACTCAAGAGTTAGGCAGGGGGAAACGTGTGAAAAAGAGTACATTGTGTGGAACTGGCGGTCATTTGCGTAGATAAATATGATGTATTTTCTCCACTCATCAATATTAATAAAATATCTTTTTTTATTTTATCTAATTATTTAGTTAAACAATTAATTATATAATTTATTATTTAATATAATTATTTATCATTTTGTATATATAAAAATAATTTGAAATAATTAAATTACTTATTAGGTAATATAAAATATCATTTAACTAATTTTAATATATAAAAAACAATTAATTAGATTATGTAAAAAACAATTATTAATATTTAATACTTAATTATATAATGTAAAAAACAATTATTAATATTTAATAATTAATTATATAATGTAAAAATTATATTACAAATAATTAAATTATTTTCAAAATAATTAAATTATTTTTTTTATTATATAATATTATTTAAATCATTTAAATATAAAAAACTCTATTAAAAACAAAAACTAATAAAAAAAAATTCATTTTAATTCTGAAATTAAAAAAAAAAAAAAAAAAAAAAAGACATAGAGCAGGGTCGGCCATCCATTGGCCGAACCCTTGCTGCGTCAAAAAGCCCTTCAATGGGTCGTCCAACCATAGGACGAACCCTTAAAGAAGTTGTGGCAATTCTGTAAAATTTTTTCAACTAATGGCAATTTGGTGTTTTTAATTTCAGCTTGTGGCAATTGTGTAAAAAATTTCCATTATGTAACTTTGTTTTTGTTGACAAAAACTAAAGTGTGACTTGTGCATGACTGCATAGTGCCATCATGATTTTACCAACCTTATCCCGATTTTAAACATCTCTCGTCATACCCTCTTACTAACCATTTACTAATATATATATATATATATATATATATATATATATATATATATATATATATATATATATATATATATATATATATATATATATATATATATATATATATATATATATATATATATATATATATATATATATATATATATATATATATATATATATATATATATATATAGCCTACCTAACGGGGTCTTTTCATAGTAAAACAATGAAAAAAAATTAAAACATTGAAACTTGCAAACAAAAATTATTCATTTGTCTTGCTAACAAAGTGTTGAGAAAATAACGATACAATGTTACAACATCTATCTACAATAGTGCTTTTTAAATAAGTACATGGTCATTAAGCATCAAGACCAATAAGTGCTTCAATATAAGCATCATCATAATGGTACTTATTTTTTTGTTGAGTCCATTATCTCTATGGTGTACTAAACCAACAAAAGTACATATATAGACATAATAGTTACCCTAAATTACGTAAAGTAAAGTTATTAAGGAAATTCACTTGATCAATTTATTACAGGTACTAATTTGGATGGATATAGCTGGTGTTTATTAAATACTCAAGAAGCTGACAAAATCAAGTTAACACTCTTTATGTCTTTCCAGTGACATTTCAAAAAAAAATTAAAATAAATGACTTTATTTATAAATCTCTGGATGCAAGTAATTAAATGTAATTGAGCTGTCTTTACTCTGTTCAACAGTCTCACATAAATTTAATGCTCTTGACCTGCCAAGAGTGTAACACCTCAAAAATATTATGATAAAAAAATCATCTTGGTCAGTAGTTTTGTAGAAACATCTGATGTGCAGGGACGAGGATATAAATATGCAACATTTCATTTATTTATCTTAAAAATGTGAAATTTCGACGATTACACTACTAGAAAAAATAAAAATGAAAGAGAATATTTATTTATTTTGATAATAAAACTTTATTTCACCAATAAGAGAACCTAAGAGAAACTTCAACATATATCTTAAGTTCTTACAAAGAAGCCCAAGTGCTTCATTTTCTTTGATACATTTTATGTAATTAGCATAAATAAACTCCAAAGCAAAGAGGCACAAATTACATAAAACATAAAACCATACAATTCAATTCACAAGGAAACACCAACACATCATCTCATGCCTCATGGAGATGGAGGCCAATACATTGCAGCATCTTCAATCCCTCCTTCATAAACCCTAAACTCGAGTTCGTCGATCCTTCCATCATGATACCACATTCCGTCATCGCTCTCGTCGTCATAGAAATCATACTCGTCCATATCGCTATCATCATACTCCGAGTCAGAAGAATCAGATATATCCGAGCATTCCTCCCTCTCGTAATAGCCTGAAACTTGCGGCCCTAAAACGTTAAGTTTCGGAAAACTCTGCTTCACGTACATGTCGTCGAGTTTCACACCCCAACAACCCCGCAAATCCAAATGTTCAAGGTTAGGACAGAGTGAGAGGATTTGGTAAACACCTTCGTTGGTGATCAGATTGTAAGTCATTTCGAGACTTTTCAGCTTTGGCATAGTCGAGGCTACTGCGAATGCTTCCGCGTCTTCTAAGGGCTTTCCTGAAGTGTCTAAGGGATGCATGTTACGACAGAAAACTTCTAAGCGTTTGCAGTTCTTGCCGATTGTCTCTATGGCATTGCTACCGATTCTGATGCAGTAGCTCAAATCTAAGATGCAAATCATTGAAAGCTTTCTGGTCATCTGTTCCACTGCAAAATCATTCACATCGCATCTTGGCAGGCGCAAGTTTTTTAGAGATCCAGCACTTGCAAAAGAAACAAAATACATAAGTAAAATTCGGAATATTTTGTCGAAACATAAGTATTTTGTCGAAAACCCTGTTAATCAATACCAAATTTAGTTAAACAGAAGTTTGATTTTGATACCAAAAACATCATAATGTAATCAATGAAAGATAGCTTAAAGAAACAATACCAGCATTTATACATTAGTATATCATACACAAATTAAAGCTCAAAAACAGAAGAAAACACAAAATTGAAGGCACATTCGTAACTACAGATCAATTTAATTGCAGGCGAGTTATTGAAGTAATTGAATTGATCTATATCGGCAAGTTTTTCAATCAAACAAAACTCATCAATTCCGAAACTCTCAATTGTATCTCCAATGAAACCAATCAGAGTAAAAACAAGTATATATCCTTACTTTTCAGCAATGAAAGTGAAAATTCTCTCAGTCTGGAGACCAGAAGCGCAGAGTTTCCGCATCGATCCAGAGCTTCTAGTAATGAGCATCTCAACCATCCTCTCAATATGGCGAGGCTCGCAGCGAGTACACCAGTCATAAATGTCTATCTCTTGCCAGCAGTAAGGTCCATTAACAGCACTAGCCCATGATTTACAGACCCTCGGAATCACAGTCAATCTTTCCCGAAGCGGAAGCTTGGTGAAAATCACCCCTAAAGTATCTGGAATCAATTCGTCCCAACGACGAATATCAGCAGTAGCAACTTCCATTTTCCTGCAACAGAACAAGATTCTGCAACATTGGTATAACTGAAAAATCAAAATCTCACACAAGTAAGAGCAAATAGTTCAAACAATACAGCACACAAAAATCTCCACATTCAATGAATTCATGAACAAACTAAACCCTCTCACAAACCTAAAATTTTCAATAGCTAAAATCTTGAACAATTATAAGATAATAATTCATTTTTGCAGCTTTACATGTTCAACTTACACACACAATCTAAATAAGGTTAAAAACACAGAAATGGCAGAACTTGAAGAAAAAAATAATCTTCCAATTACAGTATAACAAATCTAGAAAAAAGAAAAACTACCCAGATCGAAATTTCCAATTTTTCCCACTTTTTATCAGTTTCCAAACCACAAGAAAGAAAAAAAAACACCAACAAAAAAAAACATTAAAAAAAAACAAAACTTTAGTAATTTACCAGTCTAAATCTTTATGCAGTGATGATGAGTGTCTTCAAGAACCTGAATTAAGGTAACAAAAACCGAATAATCCGGCACAGGTGCAGGAAAAAAGATAGAACAAGTTCAACCACCAACACCAACAACCCCTAATTTCAAATCAATGCAACTAGAAAAAAAGAATATTTTTTATCATTTTACTTATCAAAAGTAAGCTAGAGTTGTAGAGTAGAGCATATAGTCTAGAGAGAGAGAGAGAGAGAGAGAGAGAGAGAGAGATTTGGAAAAGAAAAGAAATGAGAGGAGGAAGAGGAATACCTCAGATGCAGAAAATATCGGCTTTTTTACTGCCACACACTACACTCTCATCTCACAGTACTCAGAAACACATACAGAGTCAAAAAACTTTGGCAAAAAGTCATAAAAAGTACAGTGTTCTATTTTCAAGAGACACTGATTTGTGATTTTATGTGTTTTGGAAAATTAACACTAACTCACTTGGTTTAAATAGTGCACTGATTTACACTTTGTCAAACTGAAATTTTGGTTTTTTGGTGTTAAATTTATGTGTCTTAAATGTTATTTGATTCTAGTCAAAAAGAGGGTATTGGTAATTAATAAAAATAAATGGTTACTTTTCTTTTTGGATTACCATATTGCTCACTTGTCTTATAGGATACGTCACTTTATTGTTTTTACAAATATGAAAAATATAATTAATTTTATATTAAAAATGTGAATTATAAATTATTTTATAAAATTGTTATTTGTTAAAAGTATGTAAAAGATAAGATTGAAAAAGAGAGTAATAAATATTTAAATTATAATTAAAAAATAATATTAATAATTTATTGATATTTTAAATTGAGTTATAATTTAGTTGAATTTTTCTTTTTAAATGTGACAAATAATATAAAAAAAAGCAGGTATGTTTATGAGTTAAAATTTCTAATTTCATTTAGAAATGATTGATAAATGTAAAAAAAAAAAATCTATTGAACATGAAATATTTTACGACACAATAAACATAATATAATTTGCATGAATATAGTAATTTATACTTACAAAGTGCCCAAAATTATAAGATATTTTAATTAAGGCTTAAATATACGTATTAGCCTCCTGAACTTTGTTCTTTTAATTTAATTTTTTAAATTTTTAATCATTTTGTTTTAAAAATCATCATTTTATTCTCTGAACTCTACATCAATTAGAATTTTTATGGTTTGCTCCATTTTGGCATATTATAGTCATTTTATGACTCTGCAATTTGTGGTGTTGAGATGACTCTACATGATATCTTTGTAGTAGTGTATCACTAAGTCATTATGGAGTCGAGAAGATCCCTTCATGAATCTAGGTAGTTGGAGATGGCTAGGATTGCTTACTTCGGATCCAGGATCCATTTATATCCATTTATTATGATGTTCTAAAGATTCTAAGTGTTTTAGGTTCTTCATCAATGCATCTCTCAATAGTATGTTTGTTTTAGCGTTTGTTGCCAGTGTCACCAAAAATACGTCTTTTAGTGTGTTATTGTCTTCTTTTGAATGTGGTGGTGCTGTAAGGTTTTACCAACTAGTATTTTGACCCTCAAGGTGGTAGATGCTCATGGTTTGCTAGAGAGGAAAGGATCTCTTCGATCACACGTGATGGTGGAACGAGACCTCTTGGTGTGAAGAAGATGTCATAATTCCATCTTTGGGGTCGCATTTGACTAAAATGATCTCACTAGTTACAAATTAATGAGGATATTTTGAGTTGTAGGTGGTTCTTCTTCTGCGATTCACCAATCTAATATTGAGTAACGTGTTAAAATTGTGGATCTATGTGCTTGCAAGTATAAAGTTGATAACTCTGCAAAAGATCATTTCTGAAGGTTTGATGACGACAACATATATATTTGTGATATTGAAGTCGGTGACAATAGCTCTCAACACTCTAATGATGGTCAACCGACAAGTAAAACATCTCCAAACCTCATCAAGAAAAGAGACTCAAGATTGAAGTGCTAATATAATCGATGCTTCTAGTAAAAAAAATTGAAGCCTCAGATAAAGTGTGAAAGCTCGCCAAGTTATGTCTATATGAGTGGCAAAATTTTGTAAAAGTAAGGAAGTAACTCTTAAGTTCTAAGGAAACTCACATACACCCTTAAAAGACTTTTTAAATAATAAAAAAATGTTTTAAAAACCAAGTCAAAGGTTTAAGAAGTTTTCCATGATAGTTTAAAAGGATTTTTAAACTAACCAATCAATTGGAGACTCAGACAATCGATTGAGAAAATTGGTTTTGAAGTTGTTAATCAATTGAAGCATCAAGTCAATCGATTGGATAGAGTCCAAATGATTAAGAAAACAATTAGGACACCGCCTTAATCACTTGTAACGATTATATATCAAATATTTTCATGTTGATCAGGGAAATCGATTAAAAATGACTAAACCAATTGATTGGTCCTTAAGCCAATCAATTGACTTATTAATTTCGCCCATGGATTATTTTCTTTTCTGATTTTTTCAAATCATATATAAAGGAGACTCACCTCCTCTTCATTTCACAACACCTTCCACCGATTTACATTTTTTTTAGAATTTATCTCTCTAATTTCTCTCTCACTCTTTCTCTAGAAAATATTTCTTTTACTTAAAGTTGCCTTAGTGTTTGTGAGTGAAACTTTGCTTGTGGGGATGAGTTTTGTAAGCGGTAATGTTGTTTGTTTAATTCTTGAGAGTGAAATACTCTTGAGAAGATTGAGTTTGGTTCATGAGATAAACCAATCATAAAATCTCTATTTTAGTTTATTGAGCTCTGCCGAAAACAATTATTTTTTGGTTATTGAGATCAACCTGAAAATTTCTCAAGAATGAACTGTATAAAGGTTTATAGCCAAACTCTCAAGAAGACTTCTTGAGGACATGACTAGGCTAACATTTGGTCAAACCTGTATAAATCTCTGGTGCACTCTCTCTAAACCTTTCTTTTAATTTCCTCTATATATCATTTTAATTTCCTATGTTATTTACTCTTAAGAAACATCTAACACAATTTTAATTTTAATTAAGAAAAATATAAAAAATAATCACGAATTTTAAATATCATAATTCACCCCCCCCCCCCCCCCCCCCGGTGCTTGAAGTCACTTGTTTGACAAGTGGCATTCGAGTCTAACTCATGTTAATAACTATTTTAGGAGGATAAATGTCTTCAAGTTATTCTCTAAATAAACCCCATCTTTCATTGAAAAGAGAAAATAAAGTTTTTCATAGAAGGGACAAATCATGTTATTTGAAAGGATTTGAAAGAATGTCCATTTGTCCCTACACGCAATGTTGATGTGGCTATAGACAAACTTGAAAATAATTGGACTAAATATGACAAAAATAATATGCAAAGCGATTTGAAAGCAAAAAATGAAAGGATGCTCCGTTTTTGCCAACAACGTCATTTTTGCTCCGTTTTCGCTTGCCTTTGATCCCATTTTGCTCGGATGCTCATTAGACCCTGGAATTCATAATAAAACACAAACCAAAGGAAAAACATGAAAAATTAAAGGAAATCAAACAAAGTTCGATAAAATTATAAAGTAAAACTACTAGAAAGAAAGATGCAAAGATTATTCATCAAACTCCTCCAAACTTAGACCATTTCTTGTCCTCAAGCAACAAAACTTGCATTCATGAGTTTCCGGATCAAGCAGTCATATTATAATAAAGCATACGGAAACGGGGTCAACGATACTCATACGTGATTCTATGTTCCAATTGGCTAGGCTTAGTTCTCTTGGTAACCATCCGTCAACGAAGGTATTTCAAGAACACTAACTGTGGTATAGCCATGGACCTAAGTCTCCCTTTCAAACACCTCTCCAACTATGCTTTAGGCTTAAGTCTCTTTTTTAATTTCCTTCCCCTTTCATACAGACAATCGTATTAAGGCATTTGCAATTATTGATGTCCTCACATGCACAAGATCGATCAAGAATATTTTTCTTGGCACCTTTTTTTTTTCTTTTTCGATGATTTTTGCACTTTGTTGTTTATTGGTCCACTTTGAGACAACATTTGAGAATTAACCGTCGTTAGGCTAAATAACTGGCTGAGAGTTACCTAACTTAGAAGGTTTATTTTTCTTTATTTTTGTTACATCATTGAATTATGTCCTTACTCTGGGGGATCTAAGGTGCTCCGGTCATACCTAAGTTTTCAAACTTCCCCAATGCCCCTAGTTCTAGCCTCTCTTCCTTAAAACTCTATATACTTTCTCATCTTCCCCATAACCAAAGCTTGTCATAAAAAAAATTCACGGTGTTCGTATTGGGAAAACTATGAAAAGATAGTCTTAATGCATCAATCAAAATAGAAAATTATTAAACACTAGGAAGAAGCAAAATTATAAAATTGTAAGGAATAAAATGTGATAAAAATAAAGAAAAATACAAGAAAATAAATAGATACCCCCCAAACTTGAATCAAACATTGTCCTCAATGTTTAAGCGCAAGAAAGAGGGAGTAGAACTCACAAGATCTCATTCCGGAAGAGGGAACGACAACTTAAGTTGTTGGATCATGGCTTGG